TGTATGGTTGGTTTATGTCAGTCAGTGTGGTATATGGTTGGTTTATGTCAGTCAGTGTGGTGTATGGTTGGTTTATATTACTCTATGTTGTGTGAGCATTCTTTCCCCTACGCCTGATGAGACAGGGTCTTGCTCTGTCTCCCTGGCGGGTCTTGGATATCCCAGCTTCCCAAGTACTGGGATTTTGGCAGTTTAACATTCCTGCTTGTGATTTCTGTTCTCAAGAGAAAATGGATCCATTTGAGATATGTCTTTGTTTCTTTTTGACTGAATATGTTTTGACTGGTCATGTGGTCTGGGTGGCCAGAAGCTTCCTTAGAGTATCGCAGACAACACAGGCTGACAGAAGAGCTGAGATGCTGGGAAGAAACCTTGAGGCCAGAGAACATCAGAGGATGGGAGCCATCCGAGTACAGTCTCTACCCAGTTCTTCCACTGCCACCGTCAGCTACTCAGGGGCCAGGGTAACGTCCCAGGCATCAGGCTGAGAAATAGAAAGATGGCTCAGAGATGAGGGGACTGAGCCAGGTAGTAGCCACACACTGCAGAGGAAACAGTTTGGAGTTCCCATCTACAACACTAAAACCAGAAGTTCCTCTGAAGGAATATAGCAAAGTCCAGATATGCTGTTATTATTTATATTGTCTGTTTTCCTCCAGAAATTACTAGATACATATGGAAAGTAGATATGACTCATTTTCAGATACAGTAAATTAACAAGTAGAAACTAACTATGAGAGGACTAGATAATGGTTAAAGATTTTAAAATAACTCTGAGGTATCATCAGGAAAAACAAGTAATCCTGTGTTCAGATGATTGAAAAAAATACTGCAGAGTGAATAGATAGAGCACAGAGAACATCAGCAGAGATACTGTATAAAGAAGCAGGAGAGAGTTTAGGCCTGTCTGGAAAGAGAGCTAATTAAATAAGCAAAACAACTGTTGAGCAATGAGGAGAGTCAATTAACTCAGAGTAATAAAAGCCATCAACTGGAAGGAGGGGGAGGATCAAGAATCGAGACAGTAGAGAGAAAGACCTGGTCAAAGATGGCTGGCTGTGTCAGTCACAGGAGGAGAAATAATGGCTGGTGAGCCTATTCAGTGGGAAGAAGTGTCAGCCCCAAAACCAAGAAGCGCAGGCAGAACCACCATCAAAGAATCTACACTCAGTCGCGTAAGTGGTCGAGCTGCTCAGTTGCCACCAATACAGAGAAAATCTTGAAAGCAATAACAGAAAAAGAACTTATCAGAAACAGTGTTGGCTAGAAGGTGAGGAGTCGTCAGTCAGAGAGCTGAAAGGGGAAGCTGTCACGTATGAATTCTGTGACTTACATTTGAAAGTAAAACAATGACATGTTTAGAGAGAGAAACACTGGGGCTTTCTGTTATCTGACCACAATTAGAAGTAACTCGAAAGGAAATCCATCAGTTTGAAGGAAAATAGCCATCTAGTGAAAGAACTCACATCAATGCTAGCAAATATGTAATACTGTCATTTTTCTAATTATAGAAAAGCTGCATGCTTTTTCCTTACTGTAAAAATAAAAACAACAATCTATAATACTATATTGTTGACTAAATAATGTCTACATGAAAACGTTTATCAAATTGTGCTGTTTCTTTTTGATTAAATTTTGATTTTTTTTTGATTGTTGTTGGGGATCTTTATTGTACTTTTTGTTTATTTGAATGTGTTTCTTGTTAAATATCTGAGAAATGATACACCAGAGTGTTTTTAATAATATCACAAATTGATGTTAAATGATATTCTTTATTATATGAAATCTGTTTAAAGTTTAATTTCTGTTCAGGATTCTTAGTAGCACATTTTTACTTCTTTTTTTTTTTTTTTGGTTTTTCGAGACAGGGTTTCTCTGTGTAACTTTGCGCCTTTCCTGAGACTCACTTGGTAGCCCAGGCTGGCCTCGAACTCACAGAGATCCGCCTGGCTCTGCCTCCCGAGTGCTGGGATTAAAGGCGTGCGCCACCACCGCCCGGCTAACATTTTTACTTCTTAAAATGTGAAAATTTTATAACATAAACCTGCCATTCTAACTATTTCAGGTAGGCAGTTCAGTTACGTTAATTACATTCACACTGCTGTGTACCTATCACTACTTATATCCAGAACTTTGCTCTTACTCATACCAGAAACTCTGTACTAAGTGAGCAGCAGTTCTCCCGTCCCCGGATCCTCTTCTTCCAGCATTGTTAGACTGACTGACTCAGCTGTCAAGAGCCCTGTGTCTTCTTGACACGAGCTGCTTAGATAGCTATTTGCTGACTCTTCTCAGTGTGTGATTGATTTTCAAAAGTCTTTTATTCAAAGACCATTTTATATTTTTGCTTTTACATTTCATACATTTTATTTTAGAAATTCTTTTAGCATCTCTGTATATACCCTGGCTATCCCATAATTCTTACATAGACCAAGCTGGCCTCAGATTTGCATCGGATCTACTGCCCTAGACTCTGGAGGGCTGTATTGTCAGCTCAGCATGTGCCACCATGTCTGACTTTTTATATTTTGTTGTTTTGTATTGTATTTTGGAAGACTGAATAATCCCCCCGACACTGTGTCTGCATCTTAATTTTCAAAAGCTCTGTGTGCCTTGTGCTGAAGGAACTCTGCATATGTGATTAAGAATGCTGAAGAGGCTAGGAAAGAGGAAGAGATTAGAGAAAGATGCACAAGTGGTACTGTGCTTTGAAGAAGAAAGGGGCCAGTAATCTGGGGGATTCAGTAAGCATTCTGCGGGCTGTAAAAGCAAAGGAGAACAAATTAATTTGGCCTGCAAGCACTTTGGATTTAGCTCAGTAAAACTAGTTTTGGATGTGTGATTTCAAGAACTTTGAGCTAATAAACTTACTTCTGCCAGTGAGTTTGTTATGTAGCCACAGAAGCTGATGCAGACCTGAGTACCTATTCATGGAGTGTTGCTATTAGAAAAATCCCTTTAGATATGTGTGGGAGAACTTGGGGAATGTATAACAAGTGATAGAATTTTGAAGAGCATGAATGGAGAAAACCTAGCTTGCTTTGAATAAGGTGAAATATAAAAGTTTTGCTTGATGAGGCCTCAGAAGGACATAAAGGACCTTGGTTTAAAAAAAGAAAAAGAAAGCTGGAATTGGGGCTAGAGAGATGGTAGACCGGTTAAGAACACTTGCTGCTCATGCAGAGGACCCGGGTTAAGTTACCTGCACCCACATTAGGCAGTCCCAACTTCCTGCACCTCTACAAGCTCCAGTAGATCTGATGCCCCCTCAGGGCCTCTGTGGGCACATATATGGATGTGCCCATACTAACATACATGTGCACAAGCACATGCATGCTCTTACACAAATAAATAAATAAAATACAAAGAAAAGAAAGCCAGTTTTCGTAAGGAATCGGTGAAATCCTCATACATAGATGGCTGATGGAAACGTGATTGTTAAAGGTACTGCTGGTGAAAGTCACCCGTGGGTGCACGTGTGGAGGCTGATGCTGAGGACTTTCTGTCATGGGCCATTTTATTTGTCAGCACAGGGTCTCACTGAAGGTAGAATTTCCCAGTGGGTTAGACTGGCTGGCCAGCGAGCCCCTGCATCCTCCTGCTTCTGCCTCCTCGGTGGTAGGATTGCAGATGCATGCTAACCTTTTTACCTGGGGGTCTGGCTCAGGTCCTCAGGCTTGCCCAGCAAACATTTCGCCTATCTAGCCATCTCCTCAGTCTCTACATTTATATTCTCATAAAATACCATATTGCTTGGAGCAAACATCTTTTAGGGCTGGGGGTGAAACCCGAGGATTTGCATGTACCGGGCAAGCTCTCTCA